CCTAGTAATTAGCTTTTCTTGTTGTAAATCGGATTGTATTCATGTTTATATTATTTCATACCTTAAGTAGATTTCCTGTATCAGTATAAATAGGGACTTTGTGTAATTTGTTTAATAAAAGGAAATATATTCTCTACAGAGTTAAGTTCAGTCTAAAAGTATTTGCTTATTTACTGTTTTAGGGTGGTTAAAGTGAGAGGGAACTCGAGTTCTAGAGAGTGAAACAGTAAATAAGCCAAAAGTATATTCTTTTGAGGGTCCGTGGCATAAAAATTTCTAGACAACCTTCAAAATGACACACAAAGCCCTATGTAACGGACTTTTTTAAAAGGCTTTTTATCACAAAACGTCCCTGACGTTTGCAAAACTATCAGATTGCATTCTTAAAGTTTTTGAGTGGTGCTAAATGAACCCTAAAATTAACTGAGTACACCCTACTATCAAACTATTTATTAAATTACTAATTTATCCTAATATAAAATTACCAAAAAGGATATTTTGAATTATGAAATAAATGTAATTTTAATAAGTACACCCTACTCACCATATTCAACTCTAATCAAACATAAACGAAAAACCCTACTCCAAAAACTATGTTATTTCCTTTTATTGACAATAAAAAGATTAAAAAACCTCCAAATACCAAGCGAGTTCATACGTGCTTACTTGGAATTGAAACTGGAATTCGGTAATTGTGTATTGAAATTCTAAAAAATTGAAGAAAAAACCCAATTCAATTTGGGTGAAAACTAAGAAAATAAAGATTGAAACTTTTGGGATTTGAGTTGAAGAATCTGCTTAACTGGGAAAAATAGATAGAAACCCTATTCCATTATGTGGTTGAGCAAGGTACATGTGCTAATTCATTCAAACTCGAATAAGGGAAAGTGATGTAGAGAGAATTCAAACTCGAATCCGGTAAACATCATTTATTCAATTAAAGAACCACATGGCAATGGCGAATAATAAATCACAGAGAAAACAAGGGGCTTTCTACTGCCTTTGAATCAAAGCTCAGCCATGATATCCGAATAATTTAGTATGCCACTTGACCTTGATGAATGCTGTTATCAGATTCGAATGGGTTTGCTGCTATGTAATAGAGTGGATTAGGGTGTATCCGGGGTATTTTTGGTAATTAAATAGGGTGTACTTAGTTAATTTTACATTTTGATTTAAATATTAGGGTATACTTAGATCATATGGTGTACTCAGTTAATTTTAAGGTTCGTTTAGCAGCACTCAAGTTTTTTTGTATCACTCATGGTCCATAACATTAATATAGGTGCTCTTAAATAGTCTCTCTGTCAAAAAAACTATTAAATCCAAGGATATAATCATCAAATCAATCCAAAATTATAAAAATATATATATTTGTTTTTCCTTCCATTTTCTCTTTCATTTTTCCTCTCCGCCAGATTCCTTATCTCCTCTCTCTGTTTCTCCTTTTTTTCCCCTATCCTCTGTCACTCTCTCCTTTTTTTTCTTTCCTAGCAGCGGTCAACTATTACAAAATGCTATCTAAGAAAATCAATGGTTGCTTCAATGAGGCATTCAGAATATCAAAACACAAACGCAGTACTTATTCCACCCAGATCAGGAAATATTTTATACAGATTTTCAAAACCCATCAATCATTTAAATCGGGGTTAACAACCCATCATATTTTAACATTGAAACGCAAAAAAATTCAACAAATACATGAAAAAGGTGTTCACAATATGAAACCTTTCGACTTGTGTGAATATTTTCAGCAAGCTCTTCTCCTCTTTCTCGGATACTTTGCAAAGAAAATTGCAGAAACTCAGCGCCCTCTCTTGCACTGAGTGGAGCTCCGAGAAGGCAGACCAAAGAGAGAATGAGAGGGACAGGTTTTCAGAACCTTTGTGATGGCCTGAGAAGACAAAGTTTGAGAGACAGGAAATGAGAGGAAGAGAGGGGCTGCACTGTAGAAGACAGAGTGCTTGCGAGTGAGAGGAAAAAGGGGCAGTTTTGGAAGAAATTGTTAAACCCCATTTATGCATAATGGGCTTGGGCTGGGGATTTTTTGAGAAAAAGGACATGGATGCATTCATTATTCATGCCAAAAAGCGGGAGAGAGAGAGAGAAGAGTGAACTCTGGGAGAGAGAAGAAAGAAGAAGAATAGGAGAAAGAAGAAGAAGAAAGAAAGAGAGAGGAAGGAAATAAAATATATATTTTTTATAATTTTTGATTGATTTGATGATTATATCCTTGGATTTAACAGTTTTTTTGACAGAGGGACTATTTAAGAGTACTCATATTAACGTTAGGGACCATGAGTAATAAAAAAAACTTTAAGAATGCAATCTGATAGTTTCGTAAACATCAGGGACGTTTTTGTGATAAAAAGCCTTTTTAAAATTACTTTTTGATAACTCGAATTTGTTTGAATGGTTTATTCGGTTATTGTGCTTACCCTACCAATAGGGTGGATGTCTCTATCGAAGGGAAACCGTCGGAATTAAAGTACGGGAAAGTTGTGCAGGGAGACTTACAGGCGAAGGAAGCGATTGCTTACCTCCCCTTCCCCCATTCATTTTCAGTTTCTTCTCCGATTCAATTTCAGTTTTTATAAGTTGAGAGAATTTCAAGCGAAAGCAGCAGAAGCAGCCGGTGGAGAAGAAATGGGGGTGCTCTCAAACAAGATCCAGAGGGATCAACTCAGACCTGGGGATCATATTTATTCCTGGAGGCACGCCTACCTCTATGCCCATCACGGTTCTCTTCTCCTTTTCACCCTGATTTATTTATGTATTTTTATTTTTCATTATTATTATGTATTTCATGTTCGTGATTTTCTGATGTCGTTGTTTTGGATGCATTTCCAATTTTTTTATATATCTTTGTTATTCGGTCTTGTGGAGATGAATCTTGAGTAAATACCTTTTTTGTTCTTTTTGAGTACAACAGTAAGATAAGACTATTGTCAATAGACATACAATAGCATATGAGCATTGATTTATTGATATTTTGTTCGTACGAATTGAACTAAAGAAATGTCAGAGTGACTGTAGGTGACAATGGCTATCTGTTTGTATTTTAGCCATTGTCTCACTCAGGGCATGGAAAATATGCCGAATCGCCAATTGTTATGTCCCTAAATTTGTTCCCAAAATGTGTGGTTTGATTTTAAATAGATTCATAATATGATATTCACCACCTCCTCCCCCTCCACAAGAATAATCCTGGGGTTGGAGTATGAACCTATTGTTTGGATTGATAGGAATGACCTAGATGAATCGACTACCTCTGAAGAGGTTGTTTGTTGAAGTTAATAAGTTTTGTTTGAAGCAGGTACAAAAGGAGTGTTGACATCTTAGTTCTTTACCTCTGTGTCTGTAATTTTTATGGGTGAAAACAGTTCAGCGCAGTTTCTTTCCCTTGGCATCCATTATAATTTAGTTTTTCTTCTTTGTAGTTTTCACCTGTTTTCCTTAATTTTCTATGAGGAAAACCTTTGTGTTTTTGTCATTTATATGCTGCATTTAGGTCACCACAGCGTTGCTGATAATTTATCTGCTATGTGATATCAGGGATATATGTCGGTGAGGGAAAGGTTATCCACTTCACACGGGGAGCTGGCCAGGAAATTGGCACAGGAACTGTGTTAGACCGCATCATTTTCAGCTCCTCCCCATCCCATTCCCCGGACAATCCCTGCCCAAAATGCGGTGATCAATCAAGTCTTGATGGTGTCATGTCTTCTTGCATAGATTGTTTTCTATCTGGCGGTGATCTCTACCTCTTTGAATATGGTGTCAATGTCGCTTTCTTTATTGCCAAAGCTAGAGGGGGTACCTGTACGCTTGCTGCATCTGACCCACGAGAAGATGTCCTTCATCGTGCTTTTTATCTTCTCCAGAATGGTTTTGGTAGTTATGACATTTTCAAAAATAACTGTGAAGACTTTGCAATATATTGCAAAACAGGTTTGCTCGTGTACACAAGCATTAGTGTGGGCAGGAGTGGACAGGCTGCTTCCTTTTTAGCAGCTGCAAGTGCTGTTATTTCTTCACCGCTTCGATTTTTGACTACTAGTTTTACTGGTCTGGGTGCTGTTGGTTGCGGCATGTATTGTGTTAGCCGATTGGTTTCTGATATCGGAATACGTCGTGATATTATAAAAATTCCAGTGGAGAGACTTACTGCTCCGCGTGGTCTAGATGAGGCAGAGTTTGCGACTGAAGTGGTCAAGACAGATTAATTTGTGTGCATAAACCGAAGTTGTATGGCTTGAAGGGGTTTCTGTTGATTGTTGTTTTAAACATGGAGTGTTTCCATGAACATTTTATGATTGCTTGTGTTTAGGCGGACGTTGCCATGATCAATGTGCCTGCTCTTCTTTTGAACGTTTTTTTGGCAGAAAACATATGCTCTTCATTTTATGACTGGATAATTTGTTCATTTGTTGGTTTGTTTATTTTACAAGGCAATTGTAAGTTGTAAGTCTTAGAGCATCCACAGTGGGGGGTGTATATGAGGGTGTATGTTAAATATACACCCCGAGTCATCGGAATCATCACCAATGGTGAGATGTAAATGTATGTAAATATACATCACCACCATAGGGGTGTAAAATAAAATGTATATTTACATCCATTTTTACATCCCTTGCAGGCGGGACCCACCCGAGAAAAGAGAACAAAAATGAAGAAAAATCAACATAAAAGGCTGGGACCCACGGCTACACCCCCGAATTTACACCCCTCAATTGGAGGAAAAAACATATTTACACCCCCGGAGGTGCAAAGGGGATGTAAAAGTGGCTTTACACCCTCGAATTTACACCCCCCACTGTGGATGCTCCTATGCACTTGATGTACTTTGTTCATTTACTTCATTTTTCCTTAACCGTGGCATTAAGACCATCATGAGCAGGCCGGTCAAGAAAGACCAATACTACAATTTCAGGAGCTCAAGGAAGCCTTGCTCTTTAAGTTCTACCCCTGCTTCTCGGCTAGAGTAGAAACAAGCACCATAGACAAATTTGTTCAATATCGATAGCTGTTGTTTAATCATATACTTACAACAAATACACGGATGGGAAGAAATCCTGTTGTGTTACAAAAAAAGTCCATAATCAACATCCAAAATACCAAACGTTAATCCAACAATGAGATCTCCAGCTAGTACGGCCAAAAACCACCTCCACCTGGCTTTTTTACGAGAATCTGACTGTATTCCGGCCTCGATGTCTGCAGTTTACACATTCAAATGTTAAGATGCTGGTCACAAAAAAGTATAAGAGTTTTTCTATATATATTTTTTTTGGGTCTTTCAATAATAAAACTAAGAGCTTAATGATTTAAGTATTGGGGTGAATAAAGAAAAGTGTGGAGTTTAAATAGAAAAACTCAAAAGTTAAACCATTTCAATTGAGATGGAAAGATAAAAAAAGGGAAGAACATGAACTAAGTCACTGTTGTGTGCATTAAGCTTCCGTCTTGGAAGGTTTAGAAACATTTATAACTTAGAACATCAAGATACTTAAAATCAGATTGTTCGCCAAAAGAAAACAAAAGATACTAAAAGCAGGTAGAAACAGCAAAGAGGATCCTTAAAGTGGCCCTTCTTTATATCACAAATCATATAACCTTCTTGTTATGTAAGTGAAGGTTCAGAAGATCAAATAGTTGTTTCATTTTCACCTGGTGCATTTGCTGGTTGTTTTTACCCTTTACTTTTTCAAGGGTTTCTCATACCAAATTTTGTTCTGGTCTCTAATTAATACAAGCTGGTAATCCAATAAGCATCAACTTCAATAAATTTCTATAGTAGCTTAATCATCAAGCATTGGGAGAAAATAAGGGATATTACCTTCCATCCAATGATCCAATCAGGTTCTCAACATATTTTTCGTTTGTCAATAAAGTTTAGCAGTGAATTTAAAGTCCCAGAAAAGGTCGTTAGTGTAAACAATCTTAGAATTAGCAAGAAAAAACTATCCACTCATAAAGGAATCAGATAAATTTACCTATTAACAACACAACAAAGGATTTGGTGATGTAATTGAATTTCTATTAATTGTTTCATTCTAAAATGTGGCGTTCTTATTTCAGAAGACAAAACCAGCCAAAAAGAACTCAGCAGACAGGAGCTAGGGATATGGTAGTCATTAATTCAGAGAGAGGAACTTTGATTTTTCAGAGACATTAACCTAGATATAAATAGAAAAGCATCGCCAAGAAAATATTCAGAAACAAATATACCAGCCTAAATTTCTCTCTACCCTATTTCTGATTTTCTTTTCTAGTTATCAGTCACTCATATTGGCAACCAACTATATACTTTATGGCCACACTCATTTTTCATCCCAATCTAAAGTGCTTTTTTTTTTCCTGACTACAAGGATCTCCCAAGATCAATAATTTTATTAAAATTCATATAAACTTCAAGGGTTTGGTGGACTAATCTCCAAAATAGATTTTACACAATGCAATGTAAACTCTGAAAATGTCAAAAGGGCATTTTCATACAAGAATAAAGCATTGAAGACTATCTGGGTCTCTCTCCGCAGCTTTACCCTTTACTCTTCAACAACACATCAAGCTTCTTCATACACACACCCCTTTTGAATCAGACTGTCATTTCTTGGGTACTACGTAGACACACCAAAGAGTTTGGAAATCACGAATCACGGAAAGGTTAATTTGGTGAATTTTTAATTTTTGCATGGATTGTGTGGAATGAGTTTTGTTGTAAAGAAGATGAGGAAAAGGGCTTGAAAACGGTTGGGCAACCAGTGGTAGGGCTAGTATTGGAGGCTTCTCTGTCTCCTTCTCATTTGGGCTTTCATTTTTCATGATTATCTATGCAACAGGTTTTGGCCTCAAATGCATCCTGTTTTGGTTATAAATTAATGCAGCCGAATTGGCATAACATTTCCTTGGAACTAAAATACATTTTGTAAGATTTCTGCTACAAGGTGAAATTTATAAGGATTAAAATGTGATGTATTCAGAATTTGTTCCTAGGAATGGTGGATTTTCATTGTTTCTATGCTGGGTTTTTGTTTACGTTTTCATAAATGCAATGTCTGTGATCGCATCAGATTTTGGCTTAGTTGTACTGGGTATAGGTTTCCTTGAGATGGCCAGGGAATTTTGTTCTTTATATGCACTTGCATTTAACTTCTTAGCTTCCTAGAAATGCATACGCCTAGATTCCTTCCTTACTTATGTCAAACCTCCATTTCAGCTACACTCCATGTGATGGGGCTTGCTACGCTAGCCTAGCTAGAAAAGGCTCCATTTCTTAACTAACTTCTAGAGCAGACCACAATTGCAATCCCCTTAAAGAAGAGTTCCGAGGTCGAAAGATCAAATTGGGGGTGTAAGGACTGTGGAAATTACCATATGAAGGGCCATTTAGGTTAAAGAAACAAACTTTGAATACTACAAACCTTAATATGAACTAAAGTTTCTGATTTAAGCTTTTCTTATGTTCATCCATAACTCTGAGTCAGAATACTCGTCTAAAAAACCTCCAAAAGTTTCATTTAATTTCATCACATACCCCAAAAGTTTTTTTATGGCAAGTTCAATAAAAAAAGTTATCAAATTGCAAGAATCTGCATATTTCAATCGTTGTGTAAGATTCACATATCGCCTGAGGTGATTAGCAATATGAACAGAATCAATTTCAAGAATCGAAATTACTTTATCAACCATACAGCAGAATATAACGAGAATAGGTAAACCTAAAAGCATGGATTATAAGAAGAGAAAGAGAACTTACGAGATCTTTGAAAACGAGGAAAGCGATCACGAAGAAAAGAACAAACAGGATTTCAAACTCGGCGAATTTGACGAACCCAAAGACCGACCTAACCCACCGAGTCAATGCTGACTCGTTCGAGTTCCTGCTCCCGACTCGCTTCCCCATCTCTCTTGCTCCTCCTCTGTCTCTTCTGCCTTCGTTTACCTTGGTAGTTGGTAGTAAAGGGGTTCGGGTCCGACAGCTCGAAGATGGCATTGATTTTCTCGGGTTTCGTTTTATTTTAGATAAATAAAAATTAAAAAATAAAACAGAAAAGTCAGATTCTGAACAAAAAGATAAAAAATAATGGTCAATTTGTAATTTTAGCTAAATTGTGAAATGGTAAATGAGATTTCTTGATCTACACACATTGATAAAATGTCAATTTTACTACTCAAACTATTGTCAGTTTAGGTCATTTCTAAACGGACCGTGATTTTGGTTTCATAATTTGTTTCCTTTCCTCTTATAATCTCTTTTGATCCTTGCAGAATTCTATTAAGAACTTGATAGCATGAAGTTTGTATGAAAATTAGGTTGTTGTTTATTGAAAAAATGTGATTTATTGAGTGGACGTGATTGGTAACGATAACACCTTTTATTTCACCGAATAAAAATATTTTTACTCACCACTCTTTATAAAGAGTGTTTTTGACACTATATATGTAATATGCAATCTTATGAAGTGAAAATTTTGAATTTTTATACAAGAGTGCATTGAAGCCTTTCGGGAGTACAGATAATGTTGCTCTAATTTTATTATTCTTTGCATTAAAAATTTGATTACCATTAATTTATCTATATATATAAAGCAAAAGGCAGAGAATGGTGAAACATTTAAAACACCAAAAAATGCCCTTGGGTAATGCAAACATTAAGAATTGAAATTATTAATTAAATGAGGATAATCTCGTAAATTCACACTTTTTCATATTTAAAAAAATTAAAATTAAAAGAAAAATCAGATAATGGATCCTATTTTTATGGAACACAACTACCCATTATCTTTTTTAATTCTAAAATAAATTTAAACTTTTTTTAAAAAAACCTCTCGCAGGCACGGAAGTGCATGCATAGAGGCTAGTGATAATAATAATATTATTGTTTTCATTTTGGAAAAAATATACAATACTATTCAATTTAGTAATATTTAAATTAAATTTACCAAATTTTTTTAGTAATCTTAAATGTATTTTACTTGGTCTAGATCTTGGTGTAGATAATAGATTAGTCATTTTTCTTCTCCTGATATAAAAATATAATAGGACAAAATAATGATGTAAATATTTAGACTTTGAATGGCAAACAAATAGGGATTTGTGTGACTCGTATTCTCGTGCTCGACAAAATACACGAAATCCCCAAATCGAAACACGGAAGACGGAAAGACAGAGAGAGAGAGAGAAAGAGAGGAAGAAAGAAAGAGAGGCTCAAGTTTCTCCTTGTTCCTACACTGTAATCCATGGCGTCAACGAGTCAACGACCCCTCCTCATCGCCCTCCTAACCCTCTCGATCTTCGCAATCTCAGCCACCGCAACAAGGCCCTGCAAGACCCTCTTCATTTCCTCCTACTCCTTCTCCCTCCGCCGCCTCCCCTCCTCCTCTTCCTCCTCCGGCTTCGTCACCGTCGTCACCGAGATCAGCCGACTCCGCCCCTTCCGCTACGACGACCTTGTCATCCAACCCCAGGAAGAAGACGATAAGCGAACTCAGGCGGCGTCGCTATTTCCCTTGATCGGAACGACGTCGGCCTCCTCCTCGTCCTACGACCTCAACTCTCTCCGCGATCGCACCAGGGACATCCTGAGCATCGTCGTTTCTCTGCTCTTCGGCGTCGGCTGCGGCGCTCTCACCGCCGCTACCATGTACTTGGCTTGGTCCGTCTTCTTCAGTCGCTACGACAATGGCTCTGCGTCTTCCTTCGATGACGATTTCTATGACGCCAGCCCTAAGAAGACAGGTTATGTAAAGATTCCGGAGGTGGCCGCTGACTCCGTGCCAACACCACCGTCCCCAGTCAAGGAAGCCGTCGCGGTGTGAATATGATGATGATGGCAAATTGGTAATTCCATAAATAGTTTATAATTAAAAAAAATGTTGCCTTTGGATGATGGGCACCTTGTGACTGTGTTGTGGATTCGTGATAAAATAAGCTTATATCGGACGCTGTGGTATGTATTTATCATTTTACGACTAAAATATTGGCTCTTGCTCGTTCTCTATATATTATCTGAATATGATACATTTGGGCGGTTGTTGTACTCTATTATATATTTCTGTAATTGTTTTTACCTTAATGCTGATGAATGGGTTCAATTTAGCATACACATATGCATATATATGTACATACATTGAGTTTATACCCTTACTACTTCACTTGGTCTAGGGTCTTTTGTTAACTGTTTCTCACCCATTTATTGTTGGGAAGGTGAGAGATTGTCTCCGTGTTGTATTCACGACTGCATGACTGATTTTGATGGTATTTGTAGTTTACCTCATTTTACTTGGAGATTTTGCACATCAGGTAGGGAGAAGGCAATCATTTTAATCTTTGTTTTTGGTACAGTTAACTATAAATTTTCTTACTTTATAGAGTTATGTTTGCTGTTTTCTTTTTTTGTCTCTGTTTCCTATGGAAAGATTAATTTTTTTTTTAAAGATATTCTTTATAGAAGGCTTGGCTATTTGGAGGTTGTTAATAGGATGATTGGGAAAATTTGGTGATGAGCCAGATAGCATAATTCAAATTGTAAAGGTTATGTTATCATAATACTGTGAATTGTTTGATTTTTTGATTTCATCAATTAATCCCATGTGCTAACATTTTACAATGTATACTGATAGTTGGCAGTGCATACTCTACAGGAGTAAAAACAAAAATTTGGCGTTTAACAAAAATATGGCGTTTTATTTGAGAATATTTATACTTATTTGTGTGAACATGATATACATTGAATGATTCTAATGTATATACCATTCTTTGGCTGTACCTTGGATAGCATTGTTTTCTCAGTTATTGTATGATTAATATGTTAAATTTTAATTAATAGGCTTTCTTGTTTTTAAGTGGGAAAGAGAAGCACATTCTGAAGTTGCATAGATGATAGCATGAATATCTTGAACCAATTATGTTTAGTGAGCATATTTTTGGTGACATTGGGAATCATGGGATTTAAGAGCTGTTTAAGCATGAAAGGTGCTGGTTCCTAACTAGCTAGGAACACTAGCTAGGGGTGTTTAAAGGTCACAAGAACCATTAATTTCGGAGCAAATTAGAGTCTTAAAAAAGGGTTGGATTGTGATAATTCCTTGGTAGCAAGTCATTGAGGGTTTCGAGGGGTTAAGATAAAAAGACTTTGTTATGGGTTGGATGTGAAAAGTTTTACACAAGAATATTTCAGAAGTCATAAGAGATGGGTTATGGGTTGCAGGTGAAATAGAATTTCAGAGGTCAAGTTATGGCTGTTGTGACGGTAGATGATAATTGCACGAAATAGTGTTGCTGTGAATAATAAGGCACTGGATTTAGTGTTATATTGTATTTGGTAGATAAAGAATCCAGATATGATGAAGCCTTCATGTAGCTGAAGGGTGCGCACTGCGCAGTAAGTTCTTGAATAGAATGGAAGAGGGAAACAAGATGAGGTTAGATTAAATCTGCCCCGTTTGGATCCCCTAGGATTTGAATGTGTATTTAGATTTCAAATCTATGAACCTATGCATTTGAAATTCATAGATTTCAAATCTACATGTTTGGATGTAAAGTTGCAAAGCCAGAACTGTAGTTAGGGATTCCAAACAAAAAATCAATTAATTAGACATTGTTACAAAATTAGAGTGTTATAGGAATTAAAAAAAGTTTTCGGAGAAAGGGACAGAAATAATTGTCAAAATTACATCACTTTTCTTTTCCTTTTGGATCATCACGTTCTCGTAGTTTCTAACCAACTTTCCATTCCACTAAACACTCCATATGATCTACTTTTATACTGATTACTCGTATTATTAAAACACATATTTGGAGATTTCAATATTTAGCAACAATACAACAAGAGCAACCAAGATCTGAACTTGTTCGTGACTTGACTTGTGAAGCTCAACTGTCTTGGACTTGCCGATGGTTTGGATGCCAAGATTGCAAAGGGAAAATGTGGGTGAGATTGGAGTGATGACAAACCACAACCATAGAATTGAATCCAACTCAGAGAACCAAGGCCTAGATTTAGATTCCAGCCATGGACAATCAAGAGCAAGCCTTGAACGAGAAAAAAAAATGCAGGGAGAGCGAGAGAGAGGAGAGATGAGCAAGCAATTTGACAAAGAGTTTTAGATCTAAGATATGGAAGACCTAGACATGAGATGAATCTTGGCGGGAGGAGCTAATTGCCCCTCCTCTCCTCTCTTCCATCTTTCTTTTTTTCTCAACTCCTCTCTGTCCTCTCTCTCTTGATTTCAGGTGGGTTTTGCTAGGGTTCTCACCCCTCCCCTCTTCTACTCTCTTCCTCCATAGCCTATGCATTTTTGGTTTTCCTCTCTTCTTCCATAGCCCTTGCAATTTTGGATTCCCCTTTTGCTATCTCCTTTTTGTGAGAGTTTTGCTCTCCTTTTGTGAGAGTTTGCTCTTTCCTTGTGAGTTCTTCGTTTATCAGGATATGTTTCATCCACGGCTCTCTCCCCTTTGGCATGCCGTTGTGTATCAGTGTTGCTTTTCTATCACCATCCTCTGCTCCTCAGGTCCACAGGTGCCACTGTTGTAGATCTTTCTTGATGGCGTGTTGTGGTCTGGGGATGCTTTTAAAGTGCAATATGCACTAATTGCTTGGATTATGGGAGAGCTTTTTTGCACGGGTGGCTTTTTCACCCCATTCTCAGTTCAAAGCTTTGGTTCATCCTGTTACTGGTTACTGATCCTTGGTGGTGATGGTGGATTTGCGATGGTGGTGCCGATGGTGTATTGGTGGGGAGCTGTGGTTTATTCCTATATCTAGGGCTTTTCTTTTATGTGGTTGTGAGCTTAATTTTTTTTTTTTGGAGAGGTTGTGGGCTTTATCTTTGTATTTAGGCCTTAACACGAGCCAATTTGTTTGGATTTTTAGCTTTTGTAGCATGATTACTGCAGTACATGGACAATATTGATATTTTATTTATGCTATATCATGATTATTTGGCTTTTGACATTTCTTTTAGCACCTTTTCTATTAAGAGGGGTGATAATATACCAAGCTTATACACACTACACAGATGCTAGGACTCAAACCTGTGACCTTGCTTGGGGAGCAATTGCACCAAACCACTACACTAGTGGGTCATTTGCAGCTTTTAATATTGATACAATGATATTTTTTTCCC